ATTGCAGATGAAACTGTCGTCAGTAAAGTTGATGTCAGCCGGTTGAAATGTTTGAGAGTAATGTTAGCGGCGAAGGTTAGCGGCGGCCATCGTTGTTGGTCGGGCCGTTAAGACCTACCAGTTGAGAAACTCCTGTTTTGGCTTGACGAAGAGAGGCTGCATAACGGAATAGGCTTCTAGGGTTAGAGGCGAATTTGTCCATAAGCTTTGTTTGGTACTGAAGCCTGTCTTCTCTTATAGCCTTCGTGCATATGTTCCTGATATGTTTATATTGCCTATACGCTCCATCGTTATTAGTTCGTTTGTATTCCGCCCAACAGTGCCTTTTGCGGCTTAGCAGGCGAAGGGTACGGTTCTTGATTACTGTAGGTGGCTTGCAGCTTTTGGGAACCGTTTGAGGAACTGAATGGTTTGTAGCACATAAGAGCGTGTGCAGTAAGAAGTCCCAATGACCATCCACATCGAGTTGAGGGTGAACATCCCAAACCACCTGTTGTAGATAGTCATGTAGAGCTGGCACATTCAGCCGTTTAAAATTCCAACGCAAATTATTGTTGGGATACCTTAGCTTAGTTTTGATGACAAAACTGAAGGCTATGACGGCATGATCGCTCTTTCCCAGAGGAGCCAGGATTGAGAGGTTGTCGACTAGGAATTCTTCGTTAGTGAATACACAGTCTAAGCGCGATGGTGTCTGACTGTTTCTCCAACGAGTTGCCGACCTCACATTTTCATATAAGCCCAAGTCATCGATGAGGTTGAAGAACCGAGCTTCAATTGAGTTGTCGCCTCCAGTGTACGTGTGTTCCGCGAAGTTGACTCTAGGGAGATTAAAGTCCCCTAGAATCAGGATGTGTGTGAAACCGAGACGGATAGAGCGGGATAGTCCTTCCAGCATACGACTATCGTACTCGATGTCGGCAGTTGGCTTCCTGTAAATGACTCCGACTAGACACCTCGAAGTACTAGACAATCTTACAGAGCACCATATGGATTCCTCAAGATTGTTAAACTCGAGGTTGTGAACTTGGTGCACCTCCAAGCAAGAGCTTATGTATATGGCTACTCCGCCCCCAATTCCTGTTTTTCTGTCGTTGCGGAACAAAGTCATCCCAGGTAATGCTAACTCTTGGTCCGAGAACTGAGAAGATATCCAGGTTTCAGATATTCCTATCAGATGGGCCTTATTAGCGTTGCTAAGTTCACGTAGTTCATCCAGTTTGTTTGGTAGACTCGCGGCGTTCATATATAAGCAGTTTATGCTTTCAATTTGGAACGCGTGAGCTTCGTCCTGTTTTTCTGTATGAACCTTATGTGAATGGACAGGTAGCCCACCTATATGAGGTTTGCCGAGGTGGTAGGCCCTGTCCTTTACACGTTTTTTTATCGTTTAGACAGTCCACAAGTGGAATGGTCAGCTCCAACTTGCCTTTGTTCTTGGTCCTAGCTTCGTATGGCCTATCCGGGTGCATGTGGATTCCAGGTGGCAATCGACGTCTATTGGCACGAAATGCTTCCAGAACTGCAGCCGCCATGTGGGAAGATGGGAAGGTTATCTTCATTAGACGAGGTCTAGGATCACCGTCCTTCTTGGCTAGTCTCGTCACATGCTGAGTCAGTATGTGTTTGAGCCTCAAGGACTGTTTGATGAATTTCCATTCCCTGATGTCAGAATTTGATTGAGTAGGGTCTGCATTTTCCGGTATACCTTGCACAATTATGTTTCTTCCGCGGAAAAACTTCTCGCGAGATTCTTTAGGGATGTTTCGTATGATATTGCGCTCAGAGTACGGTATGTCGGGCAATATTCTTACGTTACCATCTGATTTCAGCAAGTGACTTGCTAGCAAGACGTCCTCTACGTCGGTAGCATTCTTAAGTGTTACTCGGAGAAGCCTCGGGTGATTTAGATGCTTAGAATCCTTTCCTCGAGTGAGCCGGGTGACCGTCAAAGGCTCTATTCTAGGAAGTTCGAGCTTCTTGTTCAATTCACCCCAGAGCATCCTGTCGTTTTTGTCCTGCAGACTGAGAGGAAGATCAGGATTGTCAACGAGGTTCATGATAATGAGAGAATCGTCACGAACTGTTGTTAATTTACCAGGTTTCACGATGGGTCCATCTAGTCAGGAAGGAGCATATGAATATGAAACGTGCTTTAACTAACAAGCTTATTCGAAAACCTGGAAAACGATCACAATTCGCGTCAATGATCTCATAATCATGAATTCTAAAGACAGCTCTGACCTTCCCTTCAGTCTGAAAGACGAAAATGACAGGATGCTTTGGGAAGAGTTAAACAGGAAGCCCGAACGTCCCAAAATAGAGCCTCCGACGGTCACATGGCTCACTTTGGGAAAGAACTCCAAGCATCATAAATCACTCAAGACTATTTCGTGTAACGCTCTCTAACGCTGCCGACTTAGAGGATGTCTTACTGGCTAGTCACTTACTGAAATGAAATGGGAATGTAAGGATACTGCCTGAGCGCAATCTCATCAGGAACATTCCTAAGGAATATCGCGTGACGTTTTTTCGCGAGAGATTGTACAAGGAGTGTCAGGAAACAGAAACTCTGCTGTTTGGGAATGGAGATTAATCAAGCAGTCCATGAAGCTCAAAAACATATTGACTCAGCAAGTGGTAAGACTAGAGAAGAGGGACAAGGGTTCTAGACCCTTGATAATGAAGATAACCTTCCATCCTCCCATATGGCGGCTGCAATTCTTGAAGCACTTCGTGCTTATGCGACGGTTGCCAACTGGAATCCATATGCATTCAAACAAGTCACAAGATGCCAGGATCAAACACAAAAGCAAATTGGAGCTGACTATTCCACTTGTAGACTGTCAAGACCACGAAAAAAAGTGGAAAGGACAGGAGCTGCCAGCTCAAAAAGCCCTGTGTAGGTAGTTTACCTGTCCATTCATATAAGGCTCATGCAGGTAAACAGGGCGAGGAAGCTCACGCGTTTCAAATTGAGAGCGTAAACTGCTTATATATGAACACCGCGAGTTTACTGAGTAAAATGAATGAGCTGCGTGAACTCAGTAATGTCAATGATAATCATCTGATAGGAATATATGAAACATGGATTTCTCCCCAATTCACGGACCAGGAGCTAGTAATACCCAGGATGTTTCCCATTGACAAAAAAACAGGAATTGGGGGTGGAGTAGCCTTGTACCTGCAGTCTTGCCTGGAGGTGCATCAAGTGCACAACTAAGAGTTTTTCAATCTTGATGAATCCGCATGGTGCTCAGAAAAATTGTTTACCACTCAGTGGAACATACGTACATTGGAGGTATAAACTCTACTGAAGCTCGGTTTTTCAACCTCATTGAAGATCTGGGATTATTCGAAAATGTGAAGTCGGCAATTCGTTGAAGAAACAGCCAGACACTGTCACGCTTAGACTGGGTATTTACAAACGAAGAATTCCTAATTGACAACCTCTTAATCCTGGCTCTTTTGGGGAAAAGCGATCATGCCATCATAGCCTTCAGTTTTATCAGCAAAACTGAGCTAAGACATCCTACCGACAACAGGCACTGGAATTTCAAACGGTTGAATCTGTCAGCCTTACAGGACAATTTACAGCAGGTGGGCTGTGAAGTTCACCAACTTGATGTGGATGCTCATTGGGATTTCTTACTACACACGATCTTATGTGCTACAAAGCAGTCTGTTCCGCAAATGGTCACCAAAATCTACAAGCAACCTACAATCATCAAGAACCGCACTCTTCGTTTTCTAAGCCGCGAAAGGTACTGCTGGGCGGAATACAAGCAAATTGGTAACAACAGCGCATACAGGCAATTCAAACAAGTAAGCAATATATGCACAATGGCAATGAAAGAAGACAGATTTCAGTACCAGATAAAGCTTGTCGATGAATTTGTCTCCAATTCGAAAAGCTTATTCCGTCATGCAGTTGGAACTGGAGTTTCCCAAATGCTAGGTCCTAATAGCCCGACCACCAAAGACAGTGACGCCACTGACTTTCTGGCAGGACAGTACCCTCAAACATTTCAACCGACCCACGCCAACTATATTGATGAAAGCCTCACCAGCAACTCCATAGGACATTCAGAAGTGGACCTGAGCGCTGAATTGGTGGATAAACCGGAACTTCAGAAGGATCTGACTGAACGTCGGGGTTGGCAGATGATAACGGACTTATCGTTAACACTTCAAAGTGTAAAGTAGTCCACCTGAGACATATTGCAGACTACAGCTACAACTTAGGCGGCTGCCCTCTAAAGGTATCACAAGTTGGAAAAGATTTAGGAGTACTGGTACCCTACCATTTGAAGTCTTACGCCAACTTTGACAAAAATACCTTTCGAGTAAACCTTGCACTGGTAACGTTTAAGCGCATTTTCGGTCAGTTCGACGCAAGAACTTTCCACATAGTCTTCAACGGTTTCATTCGTCCCCATTTAGAGTACGGAAACGTAGTATTTTCTCCCTCACTCCAAAAGGATAAAGACATTCTAGAGCATATCCACGAAATCAGTTCGGGGGCTCAAATTAAGGTCTTATGGAGAGCGCTTCCAATCATTAAACCTTTACCCGTTAGAGTGCAGGCGTCTTATAGATGACCTAATGGCTCATAGCATCCTTAACGCCTCTAGGCATCCCCTTAAATACCTGCCTAAGTGTAACTCCAACACAAACCTAAGGAGTAATACTCAGAAACCGTAGACACAACTCAGCAGAAGGGACTGTAGACACATTTCTGCTCATTAAGAGTAGTCAGATACTAGAATTCGCTGCCGGCTGAGATAGTCCAAGTGACTTACCAGGAGTCCTTTGAGAGGAAACTTGACATGTTTTTAAGGACTAAGGATCATATCTTACTGTGATTTATCAATTTCTCTTTCCTCTTTTGTCGTTAATATTCCTAGGTTCCTATCCAGCGTCATCAGTGATCCTTCGCTACTAGATATGGAGGCCCGTTAAGCAAAAGCTTCTATTCCATCCAGAACCATTGGAACGGTATGAAGACGCGTAGTGCAGAAATGGAAGCCCCAAATATTGCTGCTATTGTTAAAGCTCGACATCATGCGCGTGTACTTTGCCCTTCGAGTGGACATTTAGTAGGAAACACACCAAACCAGTTAATTTCTCCTGGAATATATGAATCTGCTGAGAGCGGTTGTAATGTAAACAGCTTTTATAGTGCATCTGGAACAAGTGGTCAGACACTATGCGATGATGTAAAGATCTCAATAGACGATAAACCACACAAAACTCGTTCTGGTTAGTTTTTCGGTGGTTTGCTAACACTTCTTGCATTTAGAAAATGCTCCGAGATTGTTACGCGGAACTTGGTCACCTGATGATAGACGTCTATTTTTCCAGGCCGTGAGAATGGTACGTTAATTGTTTTACACTTAGTCTTCTCGTTTTTCCTGTTTACCATTTTCTGTATCATGGTAAATATTTTCGTAACTAATTACTCTTCATGTTTACCTTGAATATTGTGTGATATTTCCTATTCGTTCCTTAACATATAGTACGGGCGTAACTTCAGTGAAATCACACGTTTCATTCGGTCTCGTGGACATCGTACATCAATCGATCACCAAACTGGGTCATCAAGTGGCAATATTGAACTAACTTTGAATAGTTTGCACTCTGGAAATAATTTTGTCTCTTTAAACAGTCTATCATCTGCCCTCATCCCATCTAATATAAGCGCTCCGTGCCCAAGCAACATTACTCAACCTAGTGTTGGAATGAGCACACCCTGTACCGGTAGTTCTGATTTAAATACACCTTGTGGTGGTCGGACTCGTGAACAAGTTCGTTTCTTTTATCAACAAACTTGGCATAAAGTACGTCGTTACACTAAATTTCCCGAAGAGGTCCCACAACATGTTAGGGAAGTTTATGCAATTGTCAATTATTCTGTGCTGCGTACACGCATTAAGAAACGTAAGTAATAAGTTTGTAGCAATAATATGCTTTCGTCTCTTTTTATCTCTACTTACGGTAATGAATAACTTTGGTTTGGATTTAATCATGGTTATGTTTTTTCATTTTCGGTTTTTGTTGCTCTAATAAGTAAGGAATATAGCTCCCTACTGTGTTTAAGAGTGCATAACAATGAGACATCGATCCGAAAATTGGATAAATCTTAGGGTCATGTTAATAACTTTGAATACATCATCTAATCACAATGTTACAAAACCAATGTAAAGGCCCTGCCCCCAAATGCCCTGGTGTGGCCGAGAGTGGGGAGAGTCCGCTCTCCCTCTCGAAATACTCTCACACGGCCACGCGTATACAGCCTCTGCCAAGAAAGTCCTACTCATTGCCTTCTCGTGGCGGGGGTGTTGTTTACGAAAATGAGAGGACGGAAAGCGAATGTCCGGTCCTTTAACCGGATCCCAAACCAATGGTGCACATGGGCTGGCTCCAGTATCCTGCGGGAACAAATGGCGTATGAACCAATCGTTGGTCACCGGCTACCATGGGACTGCATCTCCTCACGATGCTCCACTGCCTTGTGGGTCAGACCCTTAGGTCAGAGGCTCGGGGTGTGGCCCTCTAAGATAACCGCCTGCTTCAGTCTGGGCACCCGAGCAGTATCCCAGCCCTCACACAAATCGAATGATTTATGTGGTGCATATGTATTTGGTGCCTCCTTGTACCAATTTTTATGTGTTTAAATAAATAATAATATTATATATTAGTTAGTCATTTCAAGTTGTTACACTAAAGTTTGTCGATCAACAAAACGAGTGACATATTATTATGTTTAAAAGAAGGCATATGAAACTCCATAAAGTAAAAACCATGTTCAATATTTAGGGTAAAATAAAAACTGAATGGATTTGTACCGTTATCAGTGGTTAGGACCATATCACTTAACGTCCACAGCCACAATTTATACTATTCATTTGATCCCAATTATAAAGTTGGCGATTCTCATTGTCATTGTTATTTCATTACTGTGATCCTTTTTAGTTTATCTTGTTACTTTCATCTCGTATTCCTAATGTGTTATAGTTACTCGGGCCAACATACAACTCTGACAGCCTCTACGTTGATGACTGACTGATAAATTCAGTAATTCTATATAAAACTTAGATTTAGTGCTTTAGTTGTATTGTTTTTCTTATCAGCCTTAATATTTCTTGTCCTTAACTCCATCTAATAAACAAATTTTAGATAGTTTGCCACTTCATGTGATCATAATTGCTTTAACTAATTTGGTTCTTGGATGTGTGAATTCAGATTTCAGTTTCCTTCTCATCATTTTCCTTCGTTTTAACGTCTCCATTTGTATATCTCTGTTTACGTTTACTAAGTTATTACGCTTTCTCTAAAGAAAAGAGCCACGTTTACTCATGATCACTGTCCTCTTAAAAATCTCACAGATATCTCACTCAAGAATTGGGCTTCTGACTCAGAATAATAATAATAATAATAATAATAATAATAATAATAATAATAATAATAATAATAATAAGCTAAGAGAAAATGAAGTTATTAGTCATTCGCCATCAGCAGCATTCGCCACTTCTAATGTGTTCGTTATTAGTTATCAAGGTGTGTCATAAGTTCATACATTTATTAATTAGGTTAGCTACTATATTAATGGATTATATACAGTGAATCTAATAAACTATTTGATTTTTACAAAATTACAGAATTTTATTTTTGGTCTTTTCAATGAAAGGGTAAATTATTATTTAGATTTGTCAAACTCCTGGCAAACTGGAAAATAGGTTAAAGTGGAATAAGGAAAGACGAAAAAGAGAAACTCAACAACAAAAATTAGTCCTACTTATCTAAGAGTTGCTCATAATATTCCAGATGAAACTTTAGATAACTATGGATTAACTTTTAATTTACATAGAAAGACTCTCAATGTTATAGAAGTCGCTCCAACTACAAAAACCATTCTCGAACAACTACATGGAAAGCGGCTTATCTAGGGTATCTAAAAAACCTTACATTTCCGCAAAAAAGCCTTCCTTAAGATCTTTTGAAAGAGGAATTAAGAACCCTACGTTCTTTACGAAAAGTCATTTTCATCCATTTGTTTAAAAGTAAATGTTAGTGCGAAGGGGTGTTATGTCTGGTCGTCGGTAATTGTTATGTCGGAATCGCATATTACTCATACTTGTAAAGCGAGAAACTGCATTTTTCACAACGCGAAGTAGGAATATCAAGACTGGATATTTATTAACCCCAAAACACGACTAATGTAGTCTAAAATACACTAATTTATATATTGATTGTACACCGTTTTGATTATTCATTAAGATGAAATCACATTTGTGAAAAATACCCATTTAAAACAAATCACATGCTACGTGTCTTGCTGAACATATTTCATATTAATTCAACACAAGAATATCATTTAATTGTTGAATTCATGAGTCGATTAAAGCTAGACTACCATAGAAAACCTGGAAGCAGTGAACGGCCGTTTCTTCTTAGTATAGGATTCCTCAGCAGTGCGCACCCACGATCCCGCATGCGGGAGTTGATCCCAGGACATTCGGTCTGACGTGCGAATGCTTAACCCCTAGACCACTGGGCGGACATCCAGCGGTGCTAATCTCTAACTTCAACAAATACACGAATATCATATTTTGGATAAACGGCACACTGAAATAAATTAATGTTTTACCGAATGAAGTATCACGCTGGAAAACAAAATAAATACTACGCTGAGTAATCATTACACTGAATTGAAACGGAAGTAATGTCGGACAGAAATCAGAATGAGTAAATGAGTGTAATTTTGTTTTTAATCCCGTCATATCAAGAGGTATCAAAATAAATATACGCCACATAATAAAAAAGTGAAATTTTAAAGATACAGGAGGAGGGAAGTGAATGGGATAGAAAAAGTTAATGAAAATATGTGAATGAGATTAAGAAAACAAAAAAGCAGTAGTTCTGTTGAAAAATAGGGCTAAGAAGAATTTTTCAATTTAGTGAAGTTTATGTATACGAAAAGTATAGTGATACCACCACTGGATTCTATTCTGAACCATGTCTGATAGCGTCTCAAGCCACTGTGTTGCACTATTTTTAGGACCTCAACCAAAAACTCATGAAAGATCGACAGAAGCCAGCCCTGCTCATAATTCTTTCATACCCCGACACCATGTCAAATACTAATCACCTCTCTAGATATTATTATTATCATCGGCAAACAATTCATGGTGTGCAATCCTCTTGGGTGACATTCGTATCATATATCCAAGCGACCAGTCAGTATTTCAAGAATGTGACACCAACCGAGTTATCTTCACTGCCCAAACACACGTTACCGAACCTCCATATTGACAAAATGGTGTTGACTCTGAATCTCAGCAATCCTCGGGCGACAACGATGATGGAACTCGGAGAGTAGCCTAACATCTCAACTCGGGAAGGCCAGGTTTTACAAGTACGGAGCAAAACCACTCTCACTGACGTGTCATAAACTGGAACTTTTACAGCCAGAATAATAGCACAACAATACCAAAGACGATCCACTCTAGCTATTACTATGCATAAATTGGTTTTATTGGTCACACCACCATCACCACTATCAGCAATTATAAAACTTCCTAAATACACAAACTTTCCTACTACTTCTAGCTACTTACTATTAAGAGTGCGTTTAGGCGCAGGTTCCTTCCATTCTTGTAAAAGTGCATTGGATTTAGAAGATGAAAAGTACGTGCCAACTTGTTAAGTACGAATCGGATAACTTCTGTATCATCGTACAATAGGACTGTCATTCCCATACACAAGATCGACATGTCTTTCTTCAGGTTACAGGTTCAGATTGGGAATGGTGAGACTGAATGACCCTTTGCAACCCATTTATTTTTATTTTATTTGAACACATAAATATTGGTACAAGAGGGCACCAAATATATATGCGCCACACTGAATAAATGACGTAAAAAAAATAATAATGTGAGTAGTTTGATTGTTAATCGAAGCAATACAAGTATTCTCCATAAATATCGACATTTAATCATATGTATGTGTGGGTTGTGATACTGCCAGGGTGCCCAGACTGAAGCAGGTGGTTATCTTAGGGGGCCACACCCCGAGCCTCTGACCTAAGGGTCTGACCCACAAGGCAGTGGAGCATCGTGAGGAGATGCAGTCCCATGGTAGCCGGTGACCAACGATTGGTTCATACGCCATTTGTTCCCGCAGGATACTGGAGCCAGCCCATGTGCACCATTGGTTTGGGATCCGGTTAAAGGACCGGACATTCGCTTTCCGTCCTCTCATTTTCGTAAACAACACCCCCGCCACGAGAAGGCAATGAGTAGGACTTTCTTGGCAGAGGCTGTATACGCGTGGCCGTGTGAGAGTATTTCGAGAGGGAGAGCGGACTCTCCCCACTCTCGGCCATACCAGGGCATTTACTTAAAGGGAACGATGTAGAGAGGGGTCTGCATGCCCTCATTCTGCCTGGGGTGTTTTTCTAGAGACTCCAACTTGTTAATAAGCTTCCCAGGCACAGTCTTGTTCAGTAGACAGTTTCGGAGCACAATAGTGTCCAACTGATCAAAGAAACTAGTGATTTGTGGTTCTTTGGGAGTTAAAGCTTCCTACAGACTTTCACCTCGCTGGATAGGTCAGTTATCAAGTTTCTCAGTCCTGTTTAGGCAAGAACCTACATTGACCATTAAACTTGCAGCTGCCCAGTGCAAACCGACGTAACTTTGTAAAAACCCATCACTTATAATTGGGACGTTTCGTAAACCTCAAGCGAATTTACTTTCCGTTCCCATGATATGGTAATGCACCCAGTTGTCATCTGTACTTTTCAACATTTTGACAGTTAGTCATTAACCCAGGTTGGTGTGATATTTGGCTGCAACGGAAGTTGCAGTCAATTTGTTGATATCAGTGAGTTTAGGACGACAAATGTGTTGGACACTAAAACGTAGGACAAGATTGACGTAAACAAAGGGGCTTGGTCAGAATCTAGACAGGAACTTTAAGAGTAATGATAGTGCTGTATACAACTACAACGGTAGGTAGTCGTGATGTGGTCAATCTAAGTCCAAGCTTGAGTTCCAGAGGGTAGGCGTCAGTTAGTACTTCGGCAATGATTATGCCTTAGTTGGGATCAGCCATAAACAAGTTATAATCTACTCAAGGCTGCAGTTTACTGAGCAATAGTAGTTACCAAAGCTGATAAATATAGTATAACAGTATTGTTATATCCGAGTGGAGATTAAATTACAGGTAACTCCCGAGGACTATTAATGGACTAATATTCTATAAATATTCTTATTGTATAATTATTCAACAATTACATTACGTATATTTATATTCCTCTTATTATAAGCTTTATTTTGACCTATAATTTATTATTATACGATTTACGGTTCTTAATCTATGCTCAGTCTATTATTCACTGCCCCCTCGTGCACAGCCACTTTTTGGGCTTATTTGTGTACAAATATTATTTCCTATTTTATGGTACGTTGCGGTCTGTGTGATTGATATATAAACCAAGTATGCCTGAAATAAACGATCTGCTCTGATTCGGAAGCTGGTATTGTGTTCTGTACTCAAGTGGAAGGGCTCGGAGGACATAGGACCAATAAGGAAGCTAAACTGCCCACACCGGTTGAACGTCATTGGTTGGCCTAGTGTGAAGATTCGTATAAGTCGTATCCGGATCGGTAGATAAGTCGTGTGATCGAAAAGTCAGACATCCAAGGTCATAACAATTGGCGACGGGGATTTTGGCAAGAACAAAATAATTGGAAGACGCAAGGTCATAACAAGTATCGTCATCAAATAGGTTGACACATTTGTCATCATTAAAAATACCTTTTAAAAATTCCCTGAACCGATAATTACTTCCCCACATCACGTTGAATTTACTTTCTCAAGGAAAAATGAACCTAGCGAACTATCGTTTTTAAACTGTCTGATTAAAAAGGTTTCTAATATGAGTGCAGATTTACCCGTCTTCTGAAAACCAACACATTGAAACTGGTACAATGAATTCAACTATATTCATCCATTTAGTGCAAATTTTTTCTGAATCTGAATTTACTCAGAAGAGCTACCAAACACAATAAAGAAATAGAACTGTCTCATAATCTAATAATTTTCCTGTGAATATTATTAAAACTATACTAAAACGAAAAGATCTGTTATTGAATTATAATAATATGTTAATCGGACTATTATGATTTGGTACTTTAGTTTCACTATACCACGGTACAACAAAAAATTCGACAGACCTTTAAATTACACAGAATTGAAGCGTTTTATGAAACAACTAAGACTTTGAATTTATTTATTTCTAATAAAGGAAGAGATCCTTTTTAACGCCTCACCAGAATTATGCCTACAGATTAGGTTGTGTCAGTTGTGATGTCTTGTATATTAGAGCGTTCTCGCGAAATCCTGACTCCTGCCAATCATGTATAACTGAAAGATCTTCAAATCAAGCCAGCAGTTGAAGTACATACCATTTGCAACAACCATCAAATCGGTATCAAAGTATTAAATGGATTCAGAAGGTTTCTCCAACTATGAATAAAGGCAAGTAGCTGAAGCTTTTCATATAGTTGTAAGCTCTGCTCTCTGAAGAGTCGACTATTCATCCAACTTGAACCGTTTATTCAAACAACAACATTTAATTCCATTTGGACTATTAACACATAAGTTTAACTATTTTTTCCACATTAAAAATTTCACACTCTTCAGATCTACTAGGATGTACTCAAATACACGAGTTTATTTCACACAGTATCACTTGAACCGAAATAATTTGATATTACTGTAATCAGATCTGTTTTCGATCATACTTTATATTCCATTTCATTCCTGCGTACTATTTAAACTTGCTAATTTGATTTGGTTATTTATTCACTTCTCGGCAGAAGCAACTTACATTAAGTTGCTTTTCCATTTTCTCCGTCTAACAATACCAGGTTCATTTTCACCCCAGTTCCTAATTTTTTTTCCATTTGTCATTTTAGCATTGGACCACCGATTGGGAGAAAATTAAACGAATTAGTTCATTGTGGGTGTGTGATTTTGCTCACTGCTTTGTAATAAAAAATAATTTGTTTGTATTATTTTGAACTTAGCTTATTTTTATCCACAGCTGGTGTGGCGTAATCTCACAGTTCCTTACCTTGTCATCTGTTGAATGAGATATCCTGTCTGAATTTAAGAGTAAATAATATATCCTCCTTACAAATATATGAGCTTTATTAGTGTATTTAAATGATTTGTTATCTATCCTTTTCTGTCGTTCTTACCTTCACATTAAAAAAATGTGGTTTAATTTGGTCCAGATGTCTGAGCCAGGTCCACGTGAGGTTCACTTGAGACATTCAGGTGCTATTTATTTCCTGAAATTCGTTGAGACTACGTTCGAATTATCCCCGGTAGTAAAACAGAAAGGTCATCATAGAGATGGTTTCCAGAACAACGCTACATAGCAAGTTGTTGTATCTGTTGACTGAGATAATATGATTAAGGTATCACAAATCTCCCAAACACGATAGACTGTAGCCTCAGTTACAAAGTCAAGCTTTGACAAGAATATCCTCTCTCGCGAAGATGTTATTTGGAATCCAGCTCGATAATTTGATTTTAGTGAAAAACTGAAGTGGCATTTGCAGTGCTTTCCACTAAATTAGATTCAGTTGGAACCATTTTAGCCGCAAGTTTAGCGGACTTACAACCGTTGTTTTCTTTTGTATAGCTAATTCTTGAAACATGTTATCGAGAAAGATGGTGTCTACGACTCAGCGTGACTCTTTCGAGTGGCAACCTGGACACATTTTAGCAAAAGATTAACTTTTGCTTTTATGAATTCTTCTAAAAGAATAGATCAACCTATTAGGAATTCATAAATTTTGGACATCAGTAAACGTTCCAAATCTAGATGTTATAAAAAACCACTAATTATTGTTTGGGCATAACACTATCCTAACTGGTGTATTTATATGAGGTTTGCCTAAAAAATATTTAATCCATCTTAAATTTGGACCTCTGTAATACCACAATTTCAAAATGGTTAATGTGCTTTGTTTTAAGGCCAATCTGAAATTATACGTTACTAGAACGTTCTCAGCAGTGCTTATCAATAAACGGATATTGCTGAAGGCCTTGTATGTGAATTCGTTTGGTTGCTTGAACTTGTGGTAAGATGTTACTTGAATCTATACAAATTTTGACTGCTGCTTTTCATTTTTATCATATTTCCTGTGTGTTATTATTTCTGACTTATTTTTAAATAGAGAAAGATTTCAGTCGATTTATTACAAACATGATATAGTTTCATCATTTTGATGCTCTGAATAAGACGAATAAATTTTCCGTGTATGAGTACTTTGGCTTTACTTTTTTGGTGTGAAATATGGTGTCTGATTCTGTTCACTACTTGATGGTTGAAACTTGGTCGTTTTTGATAAACTATTCTTGTTAGTTTTTCATAAATAAGTAGACCTTGAATACAAGTCATTACGTTCACCACTTGTAAGGATCTTGGCAACACTTCATTCTATTATTTTTATTACATTGTTTTTTTTGAATTTGTGACAGGTTGGTTTAGTCTTTGTAAGTATGGAATTGTGTACTCTAATATTTATATTGTTTATCGCAAGAAGTTATTCGTAAGTTTAAACGCGTAGTAAGGAGGCAATGAATTTAAATAATAATACTTGTACTTATTGTAAATATTTATATTTCTCCAATAAATAGTATTTTTCGTCTTTTCATATGTTTCTGTTTCAGTACCACTGTAATCAAACACAATGGGCGGCGTTTTTTGTTACGTACTCCTGTTTGTCCTGCTTTGAAGCAATTGAATAACATCTCTGGTATGGTGGTACTTCATAATTATACATACATAAGATTTTTAATTTAATAGACCTGTAATTATTAAAAAGCATTTTTATGGCATCTTTGTTCCTAGCTTTTTTTATTATATTTGAGTGTTTTAGGCTAACTACGCTTCTTATTTTATCTGAATGGACAACACGGTAATTCATGATCCTATTTGATTTGACTCAGAATAATATTTGTGTTCTTGATACTTAGTTCTGGATTTACTGCAAATCGTAGCATTGATTTCAGCTAACTGATTACGTCATGACAAAGCCATACTTCATCAAATTGATCGTTAGAAAGTGATATAGTCAGAAGCAATAAATATTTGTCTCTAAAGCAAAGTTGTACGACTGATTATATAGCGATGTGACCATCAACTATTATTTAAGCTATTCTGAGTTCTCTCAGACAAGAGTGATCAGAAAAAAATTATCCTTAACAATTTCATAGCTCTCTACAAATTTCCTTTTTGAGCCATAAGAATTAAAAAGTAAGGAGCTAACCGAAGGTCATTACTTATATATAACTCATGTGTTACTTTCGTTTTTCCAGCCCATACACATTGGGCAGAATTCAAAGTCAATTAACTCACTAATCTGCTCCGTATCACTCTTGAATGTAGGAAAAATATATGTGTTACATGTATTAGATAAAAATTGTCTTTTAAATGTTGCTATTTCATGGTAAGATTCCAAGTAAGTGATATTAAGGTGAAGTTCAGATTACTATATCCAGATAGTGGATTGGTTTACTCTGTTGTGGATGTTCACTGACCGGTATTTTCGGATATGGGTTACACGCTCTCTTCTTGATTTATCGGTTTTTCAATTCCCCGTCTTTAATAGCTCATGTATTTTTATTTTAAATAACATTGCCATCTATAGAACATTAGGTTTGATATTTAGGTACTTAGTTCTGTAGAGGATTCATTTAACAAATACTTTTAAAATTTTTCAACTAAAATAATGCAGTTCTCATTCAAATCAAATTTTAGCACCTACACATGAATTCCTACTTCCTGAAGATGTATGGATTGAATTAGTTCCACGGACACAAACAGATGCATGGAGAGTAATAGAGGCAGAGCAAAATCCCCGTTTAAGACTACGCGTTGATATTAATCGTCAACTTTCAGATGTTATTTTTCTAGTGGAAAACAAATGGCAATTGGCTGCTGAGCGTATGGTAGATATTATGTAGCAAATTGTAATGGTTGTTCTTTGTCAAGTGCTAATTTATTTTAACCATATACTTTAGATGTATACCTTCACAGACTATAATCAAAGTTCGTACAACCTATGGTATATCCAAATCTTGAGTAAAATATTTGTGATCATGAAATATTCAATCCACCAGATAATAATTGTAAACATGATTTTGGATGATTAATACGCATCTGATTGAACTTTTAGTTTAGTCTGCAATATGAATATTAAGTTTTAGAACCATTGTAAACTGATTAATGTGGATTACAAAATAATTGTACTTCTACAATTCTGAGATGTTTTAATGAGATGTGTTTTTTTGTAAAGGGCAATTCTGGTGCTTTATTTGAGCTACTTATAAGTAGTGAAACGACCTATTGAAGAGTTCAACACAAAAACTTTTGCGTTATCGATAAACGTCAGCTGGTCACATAGAAGTACTCTGTACTGATGGACGCTAAGTCTCACCTTAAGAGTATAAATTTCAAAGACATTTTATATATTTCATGATAATTAATAAGATTTAGTCGCCTGTGTCAACACCTGAACTTAGGATAGGGAGTGAAGTATTCGAACGCGTTGACAACTTCACTTACCTTGAAAGTCTGATCAGCCCTAACGGATTGGCGTCTGACGAAATTTCTGCATGAATTCGGAAAGCTCATTTAGTTTTTTGCCAATTTATGTGACCTATGGCGAAGGCGAGATATCCGTCTATCAATAAAGAGACGGGCATACTGTGCGGTACTTCGTTCTGTTCTACTTTACGGCTGTGAAACGTGACCATTAAGAGTAGAAGACACTCATAAGCTACTAGTATTTGGCCACAGATGCCTTAGAAATATTGCTGGCGTCTGCTGGGATAACCGGGTAAGTAATAGTGAGGTTAGACGCAGGGTATTAGGGAATGATGGTAAATTCGTTGTTGAGGTTGTGGATCTTCACCGACTGAGATGGTTGGGCCACGTGTTACGTATGCCTAAACACCGACTACCAAGACGTGCAATGATAGTCGGTGTAGGGGATGGTTGGAAGAAAGTTAGGGGCGGCCAAACCAAAGTGTGTCATCAGTGCTTGAAGTCACCAACTTCTAGTCTGAGCCATGTTGGTAGATGCAAACTACTTGGTTGGGGTCCGCGTGACTATCGTAACCAATGGTTGGAGACTGTGGGTGACATGGCTCAGAATCGATCACAATGGCGTCGGTGTATACACTCTTTGTCTTCCCTTAAACAGTGAGATTCAAATTGCTTTATACATTTAGTTCTACGAACTAACACATTCTTCCTGTATTATATCCTTATACACAATATTTCGTTTATATATTACTCAGCTCAGCTACAACGTAGGGCCAGAAGCATATATACATCGGTCCAAGTTGCCATACCTCATTAGCAGAAGAAGATGAACGCCGAATTCATAGAAGTAGTTAATTCAATGTTGGTAATATAACAAAAAAATATTGCATATAAGGATATAGTACAGGAAGAAAGAATTAGATGGTAGAAATATCGATATAAAGCAACTGTTTTTGTGAATTTGATGATCATTTTGTTCTGCTAATGTGGTGTGGTGACTTGGACTGATGCATATTTGTGCCTGGTCCTACGTTGTGACTGACTGACTTAGTCGCGAAAGATAATTTAGAGCCTCAGTTGAAAATTGTTGATCCTATATTGACTGTCGAGTATCACCTTCAATTTTGTGTAGTTAACAATCTTTCCAGGTAGAGTATATATATATATATATATATATATATATATATATATATATATATATATATATATATATATATATATATATATATATATATATATATATATATATATATACTCTACCTTCTATATTGTCTGGATTCAAACCACGCTTTAGTGTTTGTAAACGCACCAATTGTGACAACGTACTGCATGAAATAAGGGATTTTAAAACATGGAATTCTTTCTTTGTTGGATGTAAAAGTTCCGTGATTGTATTTACCCTTTTAGAGAACACTTCTTGGTTTCCCAGCCGTCCACGAATCCACAGTCCCATCGGTTATGCTCAACTTATGCTATAGTCAAGCTATCGATGGTGCCATTCGCATACAAGAAGTGGCGCGAATTCGTTCAGGAGACATTGGATTACGTGCTTATTTAGATCGAATGGATACCAAACTCCATAATCTAGGATGCAGTCAAATGTATGCCCCACAGGTATATTCTAAAGTAACTATACGGCGTATCATCTTTTTTCTTTGAATTTTAACTTTTTATTTATTCAAGCCTACTGTGAAGTTCCGAAGGTTATTCCACTCAAATATTATTAGATTATGAATGGCTAGTGAAATATGTTTCGTTTAAAGGAATGTGTTAAATCATACAAACTGTTGTTATATATCACTGACATAGACTAGATATGACTTCAACTTGACTTTGCTTTGTAACTTCATAGTTTTTCAGGTGTTTTTAGGAGAAAGATAACGAATACAGAATCTTGTAATATACACTGTCTGAGAAAGCTATTGGAAAACTAGACTGTACACCATTTTTGAAAAGTCAGTCAGTCAGCTACAACGTAGGACCAGGCACATACATGCATCGGTCCAAGTTTCCATACCTCATTAGCACAGCAAGATGAACACCAAATTCACAGAAGCAGTTAACTCAATAATGGTAATATATAAGGGAAAGATTGCATATAGGGATATATTACAGCAAGAAAGAATTAGTTCGTAGAAAGAAAGATATGAAGCGATTTTAATCTCTTAGTTTGAGGGAAGACAGAGAGTGTATACACCGACGCCATTGTGATCGATTCTGAGCCATGTCACCCACAGTCTCCAACCATTGGTTACGATAGTCACGCGGACCCCAACCAAGTAGTTTGCATCTACCAACATGGCTCAGACTAGAAGTTGGTGACTTCAAGCACTGATGACACGCTTTGGTTTGGCCGCCCCTAACTTTCTTCCAACCATCCCCTACACCGACTATCATTGCACGTCTTGGTAGTCGGTGTTTAGGCATACGTAACACGTGGCCCAACCATCTCAGTCGGTGAAGATCCACAACCTCAACAACGAATTTACCATCATTCCCTAATACCCTGCGTCTAACCTCACTATTACTTACCCGGTGATCCCAGCAGACGCCAGCAATATTTCTAAGGCATCTGTGGTCAAATACTAGTAGCTTACGAGTGTCTTCTACTCTTAATGGCCATGTTTCGCTGCCGTAAAGTAAAACAGAACGAAGTACCGCGCAGTATACTCGTCCTTTTATTGATAGACGGATATCTCGCCTTCGCCACAGGTGACGTAAGTTGGCAAAAGCCAAACGAGCTTTTCGAATCCGTGCTGAGATTTCGTCAGACACCAACCCAAGATAAGTGAAGTTGTCAACGCGTTCGACTACTTCACTCCCTATCCTTAGTTCAGGTGTTGACGCAGACCAGTCCTGAAGCAACAACTTGCATTTAGAGGGAGAGAAGCGCATTCCAAACATTCTGGCATTGTTGCTTAGTGCTACCAGAAGACTCTGCATTTTGTCAGCGTCTTCACCAAACAGGACTATGTCATCTGCGTATTCTAAGTCGATAAGTGGACCTCCTGGATGGAGATCAATACCCGAGAATTCAGTCGACGAGAAAGTTATTTCCATCAATAGGTCTATGATGAAGTTAAACAAAAATGGGGAAAGTGGACAGCCTTGACGGACACCACTTGAGGTTGCAAAAGTAGATGACAGTTCGCCATAAGCTCTGACTCGACTAGTAGTGTTCGAGTAAAGAGCCTTCACAAGGTTTATGTACTTCTGGGGTACGCCTTTCAATGACAGACACTGCCACAGAATCTCGCGGTCTACAGAGTCAAATGCTGCTTTTAAGTCAAGAAAGACCACCATTGTCGGACGCCGATAAGTATGCCTGTGTTCTAGAACCTGACGAATGGTGAATATGTGGTCGATGCAGCCACGACCAGGTCTAAAGCCAGCTTGGTTCTCTCGTGTTTGCAGTTCACGAGTCTTAGTTAGGCGTTGATAATTATCGAGGCTAGTATTTTAGATATTATATTAGTTAAACTAATCCCTCTGTGGTTGTCACAGGATGATTTTGACCCTTTCTTATATATTGGGACGATAAGTGATTGTGACCAGTCAGATGGGATAACGTCTAACTCCCAGATTTTAGCTAAAATATTAGTCAACCTAATCGCTAAAATTGGACCACCATCCTTAAAGACCTCTGGAGCCAGTCCATCTGGACCAGCTGCCCTTCCTCGTTTCAGATTAACTATAGCCTTTTGAACTTCAGCAAGAGTTGGGGGACCTACTTCAATGTTCCATTCACACTGTCTGGGAATGGAGGGTAGTTGTAGAGTAGCTGAAGGCCAGCTGAACTGTTCTCTGAAATGTTCCGCCCATCGTTCTAAACGTCTGGACTGGGAGCAGATGAGAGTATCGTCTTTTTCCGAAATAATCTCACTTACACTTGACTTATTAATTCCAGTTTCTTTTATTAGTCTGTAAAGCTGTCTTGTGTTCCCTATAGTCGCCGCCTTTTCCATCTCTTTTGCTTTCGTTGCCCACCACTGCTCACGGTCGTTCCTTAGACTTTTTCTTAACCTAGATCTGATTTGTTTACGCTCTTCATCATGTTCAGAACCTGATGGGACGAGTTTGCGAGAATCCATCAGTGTGACAGACCTTGAAGAAATCCACTGGTTCCTTGTAACTCTGTGGTTTAAGTCACTAATAGATGTCACTGCTGTTTCCACAGCTGTTTGTATATTTTTCCAAGCAACATCTGGGTCAGCCTCGTCTTCACAACTACCTAAGTGTGACCTCAGTTGTTCCTGGAACCTACTTTTGGTTTTCTCGTTACTCAACTCAGTTCTAATGGGTCTTTTTAATGTGGCTTTTTTGCGTCCAGTGAGGCGCAAGCAGATGCGTGCCCGTATTAGGGCATGGTCGGAGTCCAAGCAGGTACTCCAGAATGAGCGACAATCTTCTACCGACCCTCTCCAACGATGACTGATGGCAATATGGTCTATTTGAGTCCATCGTTGGTTTGGTGTAGGGGGTCGCCATGTTAGACGATGTCTCTCCTTATGCTTAAAATTTGTGTTTGCTAAAAATAAACGATTGTCTGAGCACAGTTGCAGCAGACGATCACCATTATCTGTTCGCTGTGTCGGAATACTAAAATATCCACCTAAATGCCTTTCTGTTTGGTTTAAACTACCTATCTGAGCATTAAAGTCACCTGCTACGAGTACTATGTCTGAGCGTTTAGCTTTCTGAAGAAGTTCGGAAGCTTTCTGTAAAATTCATCTTTCACTTCATCTGAGCTGCAGTCAGTGGGAGCGTAGGCAGAAACGACAAAAAGGCAACGACGTGTGTCCCTATCCTTCCGAGTTCTTACGGAGCCGTTTAGCCGAACAGCACATAGACGACTGTTGACGGGGATCCACTCTAGCAGTGCTTGTTCCGCCCTCATGCTTAGTGCTATGCCTACACCTGCCAGTCCACGAGAACTGGCCGTCAGGACACGGAGGGTGTATCTCGTTGGCTCTCCGTTTGCCGAGGTGAGGTCAAGTGAATGACCACACTGGGATCCTGTATGCGTGTTTCGGAGACACAGCATACATCAATGGAAAGAGACTCTAGGGTTTTAGCCAAGGAAGCCTGCTGACCGATTTGACATAGGGTGCGTACGTTGAAGGCTCCAATGTGTAGTTTGGAGCGAGGTTTCAGTAGACCTGGGACAGTGTTTTGAGCACTAGAATCGTTGGCTATGGTGACACTTGAGGAGGAAGCCGAAGAGGAAGTTTAGAGTTGAAAGTCGATGTAGGAGGAATAATAGGAATTGAAGAGGAGGTTGATTATGAATACAGTGGTCTTGAGTGCTGTTAGAAGTATGAGGGCGGTTATCACTTCCCGGTTGCCCACACCGTGGAAGGGTTGTTCTGGAGGTACCTGAAAAGGAAATTGGATTAGAGGTGGTCTTAGTGACCTGAGAGCGTGACCGCAGTGCCCAAGGGACAACTGCTTGAGGTCGGTCACACACGACCTTGTTATGGGTAATTTTTGTGTTAGCTCCGTACTTATTGAGACCTTACCGCCGGAGACGGATATCCGTGGGATAAGGCGAGGTGTGCATTTTTAGGGTCGACCTTTTCTAACCCCACCCCTCCTTGTGGGAAGGCAGCATCGCTGTCATGCTGGTTGTCTGAAGGAAACACCTTACTGCTGTCACACCTCTGTACAGTCAGCAGTACGACTTCGCCTTCGGACCTTGGGTTTGTTGCTTTTAGTCTTACCGCTCTTCAACCGACCTGTCTGACATGGTAGGACCTTGAGGAACGGTTGTTCCAGCCAGTATAGCTCGGTTGCTTCATCACGATAGGCAAGCCCGACCACCACGTCAAGGTAGCAACAACGGTCGTGATTTCTGTAAAGTAGTTCATTTAACTTGTAGATGATAATCATCCGTTTATTTTGAACTACAAAAAGCTGACATAAATTAATCAAATTTGACCCTAATTTTAATAGTATATAACATTTAAAGTGTGTAAAGTTTGTAGGATCTAGTTGATCACTTTCAAAGACCTTCCTTGAATGTGGCTAATAAATCTACCATGTGTAGTAGTGTTTGAGCGTGATTAATGGACCGTATGTATTGCTTTACACTTTAATCAAAAATTGATTAACATTTTTATAAACTACGTACGTATTTAGTAAAATGAATATTTCTTATAAAACAATAAAACCGAAACAATATTGTGTCTCAATTATCAATAGTTTGTTCTTGAAGACATGAATAATTTAGCTGAAATTAAGTAGTATGAGACCAAATTATCTATTGATTTTCATAATCACTCAACAATTCATTCAATCATTTCATTCTGACAGTTGAACAAGGTATTGAAAAGAAGTGAAATATTTTGATTTGCATAAATCAGTCACACTTTTAAAAAAAAACTTAACAAAATTAATTCATTCACAACGTAAATGTGGTTGAGACATGTACTAATTAGATTCACGGCGATAAGGGGGTTTTAAAATTAGTTTTTCAAAGAAAATCTGTTAGGATTCGTCAGGTCTAGATTTTGTGTTTCAGGGTATTAGGTTTTTTAATTTATGTAACAAAAAGTTAAAATATGATGCTTTCATGGAAATTAAATTTTATTGTTCCTAGGCACGTTAAATAGTCT